GATCATACTTTTTAGCTCCGCTGTCGTCTTTGTCGAGCGGAGCTTATCATATGAGTGATTGTCCGTCGTCGTCGTCCGTGTCAATGTTTTACTTTTTCGACTTCTTCTTGAAAACTACAAGCCTGAATGCTTTGATACTTGGTGTATATGTACCTTGGGTAGACCTCTCTGAGGTTTGTTCATTTCATCTTTATATCTTCAATTCTCTAATTTTGGTGAATATTTTTGTCATTTTTGGTAAAAAGTGCTATTTTCGACTTCTTGTTAAAAACCGCAAGTGCAATTGCTTTGATATATATAGGTACTACATGTGGACCTCTCTCAGATTTGTTCATTTTTTACTCCCGTGTGCGAAGCACAAAAGGGAGTCTTTGCAGTTACCCTGTCTGTATGTCTGTATGTATGTATGTCACTTTTTTTGTTCCACCGTTATCTCAAGAACCACTAATCAAATTTTTGGGAAACTTGGTACATAGATGCTCTGGGATAATGCGCAGAGTTGATTAGGTTTTGGTAAAAATCTATGAATATTAATTACCTAATTTGCATGATAATTAGCTGACTTTTAGCTCATCCAAGACTGTTCCACTGATATCTGAAGAACCACTCATTGGATTTTGATGAAACTTGGCACATGGATGCTCTGAACTAGTGCGCAGATTTGATTAGTTTTGGGTAAAAATCTATGAATATTAATTATCTAATTTGAATGATAATTAACTGATTTCAAGCTGTTCCATGACTGTTCCACTGATATTTGAAGAACCACTCATTGGATTTCAATGAAACTTGGCACATGGATGCTCTGAACTAATGCGCAGATTTGATTAGTTTTGGGTAAAAATCTGTTAATATTATTAATTACCTAATTTACATAATGATTAATCAATTTTCGGCTTTTCCACTGATATCTCAAGTACTAATCATAACATTTCAATAAAACTTGGTACATAGATGTCATATGACACTGCACAGACCTGGTAGTGTTTAGGGTAATATTCAGTACATATTAATTACCTAATTTGCATAATTAATTAATTTTCAGCTTTTGATATTTTGAGTAGTAATGATCACATTTCAATGAAACTTGGTACATAGTTACTTGAGGACTGTGCAGAGACCTAATTAGTTTTTGGGTAAATATTTGTGCATATTAATCACCTTATTAGCATAATTAGTTAATTTTCAGCTTTTCACCTGATGTCTCAAGTACTAATCATCACATTTCAATGAGACTTGCGACATTTTCTAGGACTATGCAGAGACCTGATTAATTTTGGAATAAATAATTGTGCCTATTAATTACCTAATTTGCATAATTAGTTATTTTTTTGCTGTTGTTGCACTGATGTCTACAAACCACTCATTGAATTTCAATGAAACTTTTAAGGAGTACCCATCACATTTCAATGAACCTAGGACTATACACCAAATTAGTTTTTGGTAAATAATGTATGCTTCTTAATCACTTAATTAACATAATTAATTAATACTGATATCTCAAGTATTGATCATCACATTTGAATAAAACTTGGTACATAAATGCTCTAGGACAATAGACAGCCTGATTAATTTTGGGTTAAAATCTGTTCATATTAACTCTCTAATTAGCATAATAATTAATATTTTTTGGGTTCTAATCACATTTCAATGAAACTAGGTACATTGTGCAGACCTTATTAGTTTTACACTTAAATCTGTTCATATCAGTTACCTGATTTACATAATTAGTTTTCAGCTATTCCATCAATATCTCAAGTACAAGTAATTTTTAATGTGTCTTCAATACTCTCAGCACACGGGAGTTCTTTCTAAGCTTTCTTTGATGTAATGATATCCTTAATTCTCTAATTTTGGTGAATATTTTTGTCATTTTTGGTAAAAAGTGATATTTTTGACTTCTTGTTAAAAACCGCAAGTCCAATTGCTTTGATACTACATATATAGGTACTACATGTGGACCTCTCTCAGATTTGTTCATTTCGTGATGATATCTTGAATTCTCTAATTTTGGTGAATATTTTTGTCATTTTTGGTAAAAAGTGATATTTTTGACTTCTTGTTAAAATCCGCAAGTCCGATTGCTTTGATATTACATA